TGCCAGTGAGTCGTCAGCCAGTCGTTCAGACATCCAATCCATCCATTCCTTCACACCACTCCACTCACTAACAGGCCCTTCCTGCCCACCACGAAGCAATGCAGCTTGTACAGACGGCGGCAGGAAGCGAGAAATGATACGGACAGTATGGCTCGACTCATGCGCCGCAACACACGACAGAGATGCAAACAGCCAGTCACGTAACATCCCCACGTCACTCTCATCACGACGCGCACTCGTACAGGATCTCTCTTTGCATCTCTCTGCAGCCCTCTCTAGCAGCTCACGCGCACTCACCCCCTCATTCCAGCCACTCGCATGCACAGATAGTCAGTCGGACCCCACACCAGCCTGATGCAGGGTCCATTTGACGATTTTCTTCATCGTCGGCTTGCCCCATTTGCTCTTCTTGGGGAGCCCGCACCTCCTCAGCACGTAGTCCTTCTGGTCCTTGCTCCACGTCCGTGCCTTGAGGGCCTGCGCCGCCAGGTCCTCCTCGTCGCGCACGTTGGGGAGCTCGTTGACGGGCACCTTGAATCTGAGTGCCTCCTCCACTGTCTTGACCATGGTCTCGATCAGCGGATCGTCATCGGCAGCATCCAGGTCGGCAAAGAGCGCTGCTGCTGCCCCATCTGCCGCCTTGCGCTTGCGTGGGGACTCCATCGGCTGGTCGCCGTCCGGTCTGACGTGAGGTCCTCAAACAGGCCGGGTGCGATGCGGGGAGAGGGTGAGGGGTGGCGGGAAGGGCGATAGGAAGAGGGTGCAGGCTGGTGGGATGCTCTCTCCCTCTGCAGCTCCGCCATCCGCCTCTCCTGGGAAGCGATGAAGGCCTCGAACTCTTCCCTGCCCACTGCGCCGGCCGGTGCCGCTGCCCTCGCACCGATGTGGCCGCTGGACGTGGATGGGGTGGCGTGCGATGGTGCCTGGTTGGCATTGCGGATGTGCTGCTCCACCATCTTTGTGAGCTCGTCCAGTTTGGTCTTGAAGGGCTCTAGCGCCGCCTGCTGCTCCGCCTTCTTCTTCGCCTCCATGTGCCGCCTGACGGCTTCCCGCGCCTCACCGTAGCCGATGGGCGGGTCGCCGGGCTCCTGGGGGATGAAGACGTTCATGCCTCGCTGGCCCCTGCCGAAACCACCGCTGCCATAGCCGAACTGGGGGCGTCCGAATCCGCTGCCACCACCTCCACGGGGCGGGCGGAATGCGGGTGGGTATGCAGGCGGGGGAAAGGGAGGGCTGCTGTAGCGATAATCGGGGCCGTATGCAGTCTGCTGGCCTCCAAATCCAAATCCGTCACCACGACCGTCACCATTACCAGTATAGATCGCCAAATCACGCCCAACGTTGTCATTCATCTCTCTCCGATCCATCGCCTCTCGTCTCTTCTCTGTCTCGTCTTGCCTCTTCTTCGCCACGATAACTCCGACCCCGACACTGAAGCGGTATTGGCGGAGTGCAGCTTCTGATGAGGCTGTAGTTGGATTTCTTGTGCTCTGCTCAGACCATCCGAAGGGGATGGTCTAGATCAACACAGGTTGACTCAAGCGTGGGGACTCGAGAGCGATTGAATGAATGAATGAACGTCTGTCGTGAAAGTCCTCAGACAGTGCCGGTCATGCAGCGAGCTCAACCAATGGGCGCTGTGAGCGTTGACAAGGCAGGGAACTGCCGCTGCCAAACTCGCAGACGACCGGCAAAAGCAAATACCACGTCTGAGGACATCGCATGCAGCAGCCAGGCAGCCACACAGACAGTGTGGTGTGTGTGGTCGGTGTGTCTGATGCCTGTCTGTCTGTCTGCCTTGATGCGCACCAGAGAGTGATGGCAAAAGTGCACCCGAACGAAGAGCGACCAACACACACAACAACACCAACACGATGGACACTCACAAGCCAGCCATCCAGTCAGTGTGTGCGCTTGCCAACCAGATAGTAGTGTACAGCGCACCCAAACGGAACAGGGAGGCGACAGAAGAGTGCGAAAAACAACCTGCCATGCCATACCACACCACAACAGCACATCGACGACGCACAGACCCACACACGAACACACACACATGCGTCCATTTTCGTGTCCTCGTTCCTTTCCGTGTCCACACGCATGCATACCAGGAATGCAGATGGGCGATTCAGGTGTGTGAGAGACGACAGCCAGGCCCTTGGCAGTGTTGTACAGCAGCACTGGGCCGAAAAGGCAAACTGAGAAGGCAAGGCGCGATCCACGAGACGCAAGATCACAAGCACGCAGCCAAAACGTCAGGCCCGGTTGTATTGTGCACATAAGAGACGGCGCGCAACTACCAAAGTGCGGCGAAAAGCTGGAGTTCCGGCCGGAAAGCTGAGAGGAGGTGGGGAAAGCTAGCCAAGTCCGCAGAAGGCTAGCTAAGCCCGCGGAAAGCCAGCCAGCCAGCCAGCCAGCCGGAAAGCTGGCCTGACCACCCGGAAAGCCAGCTTTCCAGGCGCTGGCTTTCCAGGCCTCCCTGCCAGCTTGCCAGCCAGACAGCTGGCCTTCCGGGCCTCCCTGCCAGCTTGCCAGCCGGAAAGCCAGCCTTCCAGGCCTCCCTGCCAGCTGTCCAGCCAGACAGCTGGCCTTCTGCACTGCTGCGAAGGCTCTCCACGGACATACGAACTCTCTCCGTGAATCATTGACTGTCAGTTAATGAATGCCATGCATTGGCTCCATCGGTCCCACACACACACACACACAAGCAGAACCCATCAATGAATGAACGAATGGATGGATGGACGGCACCAACACTCAACCAACACTCAACCAAAGCTGCATGCATACATGCACTTGCCATACGATTTTGCCCGCTTCGGGCCGTTGCGCTTTCTCTGGTGTTTTGACAGCGAGGCCATGCACAAGACAGTCAGGAAGTGGTGCACCAAGAATGTGTGCATGTGTGGATGTCGACGCGTCAGCGACTCGCCATTTCGGAGCTCACTGACACGCCCACAGCCCCACACACACGACACTCAGCACAAAGACGCATAGACTCATCTATCTGTCTCTCTACCTACAGCCACGTGTGCGTGTCATCAGTCTGTACATGTCGACCGGCTCTCTGCCATGGCCGGCCGAGGCATGCATGATGCATGGCCCGCCATGGCAACGAACGAGCGCACATGTGCACACCCACTCCACGCACCCAGACGAACAAATACCTACCGACTTTGGCTTGGCTCTCCATTCGCTCAGCCCAACACAGCACAAGACAAGGTGAACCGACACAGTGCCAGAAGACAATCGGACGAGACGCCCAGAAAGAAAGAAAGAAAGCGCTCTTGAAGACGGTCAGGTGCCAAGGCAAAAGGAAAGACCCGACCCCTCTCTCGAGAAAGAATAATGAGAGCGTGAGGTGTGGGTGAAAGAAATTAGAAAGTGAAGCCCGGAGCAATGCTACCCATGAGATGGGGCAGCGACACATGCACGCACCATCTCATGGCGTGTCATGCCGTGTGTGCCTGCCTACCCGTCAATCAGTCGCTCGCATGTTGGAGCGCACCAGTGAGTGACAGGTCGACAGCCACTTCACGACACGCCCACAACACATCGATCCAGACATCCAGACAAAAAGTCAATGAAAAAGCCAATGCCGAGCTGACTGTTCTGTCATGTGTTAGCTGTACAGCCGTGGAGTATGGAACATGTGCACGTAATGAAACACTTTGGTCTTCGGCAGATCACCCACCCGTGTACCCATGTCCCCTCGATGGCATGCATCATCACAGACACCGGACAAGGACGATAGCGACACGAATGGCTCCCTTCCACAGACAGATGAACCAACACAACAAGACGCCGAACACACCGGACAGTCATACCATGTGTATGACGAACTCTCAAGTCAGATCAAAACAACCGGACTACGTCCAATCCCATGCATGCAAGCAATCAGGGCACGGGCACGCGTGTGTGTCCCACATCCATCCCCACAGACATCCAGACATCATGACATCCACAGCAGGCATGTGCGAAAAATGCGATGTGTACGAATTACGCCGAAGTACCAACGAACGAACGAATGAACGACCCACCCGGATGTGTCCCTCCGACAGACAATCAATCTATCGAGCCATCTAGTAGCCGGAGGCCGCGTTCATGTTCCTCTCCATCTCCTTGCACATTTGGAGGCCCTCGCTCTGAGCTCCTCGGAGCCCAGCACCAGCACCAGAAGATTGAGATTGAGACTGACCAATGGAGATACCCTTGGGGCCTGTGGCGAGAAAAAGGCACACACACACACACACACACACATACACGGGAGAGAGAGAGAGAGAGAGAGAAAGATGGTGGGAGCAAGTGTGCCACCACCCTACTCCGACCGCCCTGACCTAGTTTGACGTCGAAGCCCAAGTCGAAGCAGTTCTTGAGTTTCAGTTCGGCGGCATGTGCCTCATCAGGATGATCGTGGAACCACTCGTGGTCGCACCCGTCCCAGAGGCACTCGTGCACCCAGCAGAAGAGGTCTGAGGGACACCACAGCGCAAGCAACGCACCCGACACACGTGGGCTGTGTGTCTCTCTCTCTGTCTTGCTGTTGCGTGCCGTGGTCTGCGACGTACCAAACGGGTGGCACATCCAGCAGCACTTCCCGTCGCCGTCGTATTTGTCATGCTTGGGAGCCTTCGTCGGCTTGGGAGGCTTCTCTGCAGGCAACACACGCACACAGACACAGACACAGCAGCCAAGGCAGGTGTCAGTCAGCAGTGCGTCAGGCACCCAGGGCGCGTGTCTCTCTCAGGCACCCTACTGGTTGTGGTCGTAGTCGTCGTTGTCGTCACCACCGGAGTCGTAGTAGTGATGATTGGCGTAGTACTCGTCGTGCTACGTCGACACACACACACACACAACACCCACAGCATCCAGCTGGGCACGAGCCAGCTAGCCAAGGCCAACCCCTCCTACCTGGTGGTGGTCGTGGGAGGCGTGGTGGGATAGTGGCACTCCCGGGCCCCCTCGCAGTTGGCACGAGCGGGTTGTTCGAATTCCTGTGCGGCCGCGAAGGCAACCATGCCCAGGAGAGCGACGACCCAGGTCCTCATTGCTGGCAGATGACCCGGCGGGCGTGGGTAGGGAGGGGCAGAAGGGGAGAGCGGAACCGCGGTCGAGAACAAGGAGGCGCAAGGGAACGGTTGAGGTGCACCAAGGATTTCAGGAAGGAAACGAGATGCCGGTTACGGGAATTCTGGCGTACAGCCATTACCGGCCGTAAACTCTGATGAGGCTGTAGTTGGTTCGTACGACCGTAACGCCAGTTCGTTGCTGCTGGGACACCCGTTGCGGGTGCGCAATGCCCAACGCCTCTCCGGATGTTGGAACACAAAACCTCTGTCTCACAAGAGATGTGCTTTGGTGACAGCTTGGCCACGGGCGGTTTTCTTTACATGCATCTGGGGGATGGGTAGACAAGCTGTGTGCATGCTCTCATGCGTGCACGCTGCAACTTTGATACCCGTGATGGACTCAACACCCAGCCAAACCCGGATTGGAGACGTGTGTTGGTACATCGAAACATGAAAACTGTGTACACGGCCATGAAGCTCTGTACAATTTGCGCATGCAAGTACACACTAAATGATGCCAGTCAGGAAGGAGCGATCAAAGCCCACCCCCACGCGCCACACCGCGGCAGACATGTACGGATGCATATATACGTCAAAACGCTCTAACATGGAACCTGAGGTTGTCAATAACCGTCATGACGCTCAGCGGCGGGGACACATCAGGGGGATAGCAGATCTTGGGTGTCAACCCCGTGCCGCATCGAAACAGCTCCACTCGAGCCCTGTCGGCTTGGTCAGGTGTGCAGCACGTCACGGGCCATGTGGGAGGCGCGTAGCTGGCGCACTCTGCCGGCGGCAGGGGATTGAAGTATCCCTCGCGGACGAAGCCGTAACACGCTCGATCTTTCCTCGGAATGCCCACCACGAAAAACGTGTCGTTGTTGGCCGATGTCATAGGCTGGAGGGAAGCCACGTCCGTCACATGCTGTGTCATGTTGATCACCGGGTCGCTGAGTTCCCTTCTACTGGGGCCGCCCCACAAGGCCTCCAGCTCAGTAAAGGTGTCATCCAATGGCCGTGGATCGACCACGTGCACACCCGCCACTGTCGTGATCTCGTAGCCGCGATTCCTCGACTGCAGATTCGTCTCATTGGCCTCCAGCAGCAGCGGCATCAGCTGTCGGACGGTCGACACGTACGGCTCGTAAGGAATGGGGGGCTGATTTCGGATAAGTGAGTGGGGAGCGAGTACAGACACGTTGTTGCCGTTTGCCGTCTGGTTCGTGTCGTTCTGTGGTCTTGTTGGCATCGGATTGTGCAGAGTTGAAGGCTGCGGGGGGGACGCCCCAAGGAAGAAGCCAGCCGATGGATGCAGGACGTCTGGGGCAATCCGAAACATCCGCGTCACGTAGTCGTAGTAGACAGTAGCGCGGATCTCAGCGTGAGGCGTCAGGCCGCTCCTGCGATAGTGGCCCGTCGGGTACTGGATGGCCTCCCAGCCGGCGCCTGTACCGAGTCCTGGGATGCCGATGAAGGCGTATGGGTGGCCGAAGCCCTTAGACGAGGCCGATTGGTCGGCATCAGAATAGGGCGACAAAATGGTCTTCTCGCTGACAGACACATGACAACACATCGCAGACAGAGAGACAAATGGATGCAGGCAGATGGCCCCGCTCGATTACGTGCATGTTTTCTCGCTTCCGTGGGCTAAACATGCACACCTGTGTACAGATGGGAAGGACTGCAGGTGGTAGGCCCCGCACAAAGCCAGCTCCCTCGCCAGCGTCAATGACACCTGCGCCTCCCACGCGTCAACAGACACCACTAGCACCACATACCGCTGATCGAACTGATTCAGCCGCTGTGCCATCATGTACGCCGCCGTCCGATTGCCGAATGTGTCGAAGGTCTCGATCGACGCCAGCTCGAAGTCGGTGCGATCGAAGACGGCCAGCACGAGCCCCCTCTCGTCCATGCGCTCATAAAGCCTCCTGCCGTCCACCTGTATGATGGCGTGTGCGGGGTTGTTGCGTCCCGTGCCCCGCAGATAGATGTTGAAGCGGTCCTGAGTGGCGTTGAGCTGTGTGAAGGCTACCAGCTGGGCGCTCCAAGCGCTCGTGCCTGAGCTGCCCTTGCCAACCGCACGTACGCGGAACCAGTAAGGCGCGCCGGGGAGAAGAAGCTCCCACCGATGCTCCAGAGCATTATCCGGATTCGTGTAGTTGAACCTGAGTGGAAAAAGATAACAGAGAGAGAGACCGTGACACATAAGAGATAGGACTCCATCGTCACGTGAGCCCGGCCCTTCATTCCATTTCTCACCCAGTGGCTCTCGCCAGTCGCTGCGTGCCAGTGTAGACGGTGACCCAAGGTCCCCAGTCGATGTTGCTGCAGCCCTCGTAGTTGGCATGCAGCTCATTTCTGTTCTTCATGTACTCGCAGTTGAACGTCTGCTCCGAACCGAACACCGTCCGCACCTGCAGCTCATAGCTGTGCAGCTCCGCCCAAGGGTTGAACGCGGCCGTCCAGCTGACGTGGATCCAGTCCTTGCCGGCGCGCACAGGGTCGAAAGCGTGGAGCTGCGGCGTGGTCCAGAGGCCGGCGCCCATGCTGCTGTCATAGATGCCCCAGCCATTCGCACAGATAAGGAGTGATGCGATGGAAAGGATGCAGAGAGCAAGGCAGATGAGATTCATCATCTTTGTGGTCCCTTCTCGCGCTCGTCCCTCCGTGAAACTCGTGGTGAAGGGCGCCGCAACGGATCGCGGCTTCCTTCTCCCCACGGCTGCTCGCCATGTCCTCACTGCGGACGAGTATCAAAGGCCTTCAAGTCCTTCCAAGAGCAAGGCTACAGACTTAAGCAGGTCTCTGGGTATACTGTCGAGGGTCAAGATTGCTATGCCGCCATATGGACAAAAGATAAGATGCCGGGCCCGACTGGCAGGCGAAGCATGCTCTTACATCTTCAGAGTGAGCGAGAGAAATCTCACCGAAGGGACTCACCCGCACCTTCTGCCTGTGTCGTTTGTGTGTGTCCTGCAGGTATAAGAAGGCCTTTGACACACTTTTATCGGAGGGCTACAAGTTGGTGGATATCAGCGGCTATTCGCTAGACGGAGAGGCCCGTTACGCTGGCGTCTGGGAGAAAGGATCGCGGCAGTGGCAAGCCGTCCACGGCCTCACCAGCGACAGTCAGTCAGTGAACGAACAAGCAAATGGGCACACGAACACGGTGTGAGGGACGTATGTCGCCTGCCTTCAGGTACCAAGCGAAATTCAAGGAGCTGTCAAGAAAGAGGTACAGACCGGTGGACGTGTCGGGCTACGAGGTCGACGGCACCGGCAGATATGCCGGTATTTTCGTCCGAGAGCGTGGCGCCCCGGCGTTTGTCAGCCACCATGGCATGACGTCGGCAGAGTACCAACAGTATCAGTATCAGTATGACAGCGACGGCTACCGGCTGCCATCTGGGAGAAGAGAGGGGGCCGTCGATACGTCCCTGTATGGGGTCTCACAAGCGACCAGCGCTTCCTCATGACAGTCGTCGATGTCAGAGCAACTTGGCGAAAGACCCTGCACGAACACACGAACGTAGACGCTGTTAATATCATCGCCGTCCAGTTGATGAGACACACACAAAAGGAGAGAAGAACGCACAAAGAGAGGATCCACCCATCGATGTGTGTTGGTGTCCTGCCTTGTGTTTGCATGTGGGGCTGGCTCCAGGTATCAGGCTTTTTATGACGAGTACGTTGGGCAAGGGTACAAATTGGTGCAAGTGAGTGGCTTCGGCGTTGGGGACACTGCCTACTATGCAGCCATCTGGGAGCGATGAGCGCCCGCGACATCCAAGCAGGAAGTCGCACCGCATGTGTGTTGTGAGTGGCGGATGTCTGCACCATGTTGGAGGGCGAGGGGGGGGGGGGGG